TCCCTGTTACTCCCCAGGCCGGCGCATCCTGTAATAACCGAGGGAGGGGGTCAGATCAATGCTGCCCACCCTAGGCTTCAGCTGCGAAGCTCTATTGCTTCCTGACTTGATCAATACTGGCTCACAATGGCTGGGGGAAAGCCCGGGGCAGGCCCGGAGCTGGAGGCTGCCGCTTCTATCCAGAGCAACTCCGCCGCCAGCTTCTGGGTACTCTAGCCAGCTGCTCAGCCCCTCCCAGCAGAGGCTACGGCTTCCCTCCTGCCCAAACTTCTGGTCAAAAACTCTTGCTGGCTAGGCTTCCTCTACCCTAGAGGGCGTGACATTTCCAGTAGCCCCAGCACCTGACACTCACCAAGTAAAAGGGGTGGCCTCCATTTTTCTTTTCCTCTTTGCTTTTCTTTTGCAAATAGATACTGGTGAATTGAAACAATGTATTCTCCTTACGTCTTCTCCCAAACTAGGATCGGATTCTGCAATGTGGTATATAGGTAACTGGAAATCATGGAGGGTAACATGGTTTGACAATTTATGGGACCTAAAGCTTACGCAAGTTGGGGAGGAGGTTCTCTGAAAGAAAAACTATTTGGCTTTCCCAAACTTAAAAAGGGTGGGGGGAATCTTGGGGAGGGCTCCTGCTATGGAGGTCTGGAAGCTGGAACCTCACACCTCCTGTAGGAATCTCACTCAATCGACAGCCAAAGGTCACAGCAATGAAAATGTTCTATATACAAACATCTCCAAACTGCCCCCATTCCTAAACGTGGCCACTCCGTCTAACTGGCATTCTTATTTGTGTGGCCCCAGAGCTGGCAGGGACACCCAGAGACCAATCAGTGCCCTGGGAAGAACAGGAAGTGTTCAGCTTTGCAGAGTTGGCCTGTCAGCCCCAGGGGTTCTCTGAGGCTATAGGATGGGGGAACTCTTTGTCTACCCCTGGCTCTCCACCTGTGGCCTTTGCCCTGCATTTGGACTGACTGTTGCAGCAGGAAGAACTGTGGAGTTTGGGGATACTGATCACTTTATGACACAGCACATTTGTGTGGGCGGGCGCACACACACACTCTCTCTCACACACACACACACACACACACGTGAACATACATACAGAAGCAAACCCTTATCCATACACAGGTGTACACACACAGCCAGTCCAAGTTCTGAGCCAGACTTGTGCCTCAGCAAACACAGCAAAGTACAGCTGGAAGGTTCTATACAGAGGTCCCTTGCCTCTCCAAAGGACTTGGTTATGTTTGGAGATATTGACTGGCATCCCCTGGGACAAAGAGAACAATTGGTTTCTATCGGGTTGAAGAGTCATGCACAGGGCAGCCCCCTCCAACAGAAACTCAACTTTAAATGACAAAGGTGTTGAGAGAGAATCTAGGCTAGGGATTTTCTCCACTCCTTCTTTTCCATAGCTCAGAATATCATGGTTACTGTTTCAGCCCCAGTGGCTTTGGCATTCCCTCCAGAGAAGAAGGGGCTGGATGCTGAGACTCTGTGCTTCTCTTGCTCTCGTGGGTGGGAAGCTTTTTTTATTCTGGCTTCTGTATCTAATCACCTACAACCATTTCCCCGATGTAGAGCTGTGGCCCCAGCCCTGGGCCCTTGAGCCAGAGACAGTTGTGCACACTCTCTCCCTGATTCTGCCTTTAGAATGTCATTCTAACATGACTCTTAGTGCCTAGCTTGCTTGGGGCTGACTTTCCCCGCTGCTGCACGGTTGGAGGAGTAGCTGTCCACAGCTAGCCCAGAATCACGTAGGAGTTAGCGTGGACTCCTTATCCAGAGCTACATCTCCCCACCCCTCCCCTTATTCTTCTTTTCCCCACCACCTTTTCCTTTCTTTCTGCCTCCTCCCCCTGCGGCTTGCTGTCTCATGCCCCTTCCCCCACTGCCTGCTGTCCCGTGCCCCTCCCCCACTGCTTATCCCAGAATTGATCACCCCTGCCATCTTTCCTGCTTCTGTAGACAGGCTTTGGAATGATCCCAGTTTCTGCTCTCCTCGGCTGAGAACGAACCTTGATCATCCAGGACAGCATGACCACCATGTCTTCACTTGGAGAGGGGCTGTCTTGCCTACCACACAATACCAATTGACCCAGTTAGCTAACTGAGGCCAGTGTTAGCCACCCACTGACCAAGCAATGGCCACCTGGCTCATGACTGAGTTGCCTCAGAACCCCAAAACTGGTTTATTTTGGGCACAGAACACGAAATAATAGTCTGATATTTCCATATGAGCTAAAAAAAATCTACATAAAATGCTCTGGTTGTTTTGAGAGGAAAACAAGAAAACAAATGTGTGTGTGTGTGTGTGTGTGTGTGTTTTCAGATGTTCTTTAAATGATTTTTTAAAATTGTTTTCATGTCAGGCGTGCACCTAAGGAACGAAACAGGAAGAAAAAAATTCCTGGTGTAAAACTCCCCACATGGTAGTGCAAAAATGCCTAGGAAAAATTAGCCCCAATGATTTAATTTTGAAACTTCACAGGAAAAAGTTTCAGTGAAAAGAAAAAGAAAAAAAAAACTTGCCAGACCTAACATATTAAACTAACTTAAACAAAATAACTCAATCATCCTGTGGGTTAGCATCTGCCATAATCTGGTTTATAGAACCAATATTGAGTAAGAAAGTCAAAATGATTTCTTTCTCTGTAAATTTTTTGGGGTTTTGTTTATAAATGCAGAAATTCCATCATAAAATATATGAGTTTTCTTTAAACCAAGCATGCAAAACATTAGGAATTCCTCCAAAATGGCAAGCAATTTATTCCTGTTTACTATATTTATTGCCTCCAGGGCGTCCATAAAGTCTGGAAACATAGGCAAATATAAACAGTGTGATCAAGGACATCTTCCGTCATAAAACACAGCTAATAATATCTAGATCCTTAGGCCTTGTGGCCATCCTTGATTATCTCTGCTGTGTAGACTGTGCACGTGAAAGTTCAGTTCCCATTTCCCAGGTTATATTCAAATTCATAGTCTAATTGAGAGTAAATATGTCTTACTAAATAATAATAATAATAATAATAATAACAACATTCCATTTGTGTAAAGTTTTCTGGAGGTCAGAGTATATGGAAAATTAATAGCCTCAGCCGATAGTTTTCTAAGATGAAGACTGTTGGTGAGAATTTATCAGTTTCTGAAGCGATTTCCGTAAAATGGGATTTCTTTAAATTAAGATACAAACTAATGGATTAACTATGGTCACGGTAATGAGGGTGGCAGTCTAGGTTTCTCGGGCTCTGTTGTGTGGCAGGGCTTCAGCTAGAGACTTGACACGGTTCATCTCAGTGGAAGCTCCTGTCTGTTCTGCCTAAATCAGGGGATGGCTTTGGGCGTACAGGCCCAATACAAGCCATGCTCGTGTTTGGCTTGAGTTTAGCCTAGGCCTAAGCACTGAGTATGAGTGACTGTGCCAGATCAGGAAGAATACAGAAAGGCAAAATCTTCAGGCTGTGGCATTGATTAGAATGCCTGCTCTTTCTCACATCTCTTCAGCGGCAGGCAAAATTTCTGTATGAGCAAAGTCTCAGAATATCGGGCTGGTGAGATGGCTCAGCGATTAAGAGCACCAACTGCTTTTCCGGAGGTCATGAGTTCAAATCCCAGCAACCACATGGTGGCTCACAACCATCCGTAATGAGATCTAAATAAAAAACCTTTGGGCTGGAGCAAGAGGGAGAAGGGGAGGGGAGAAAAAGGAAAAAAAAAAAAAGTTCTCAGAATATAATTCCCATCAGCTCTGTTGTTAGGGAAATGTCTTAGTCAGGGTTTCATTGCCCCGAAGAGACATCATGACCAAAGCAACTCTTATAAAGGAAAACATTTCATTAGGGCTGACTTACATACAGTTTCAGAGGTTCAGTCCATTATCATGGTGGACAACATGGCCGCATGAAGGCAGACATGGTACTGCAGAAGCTGAGAGTTCTAGATCTTGAGTAGGCAGAAGAAGGGACTCTCTTCAGCAGGCAGCTAGGAGGAAACTATTTCACTGGGCCATAGCTTGTGCTTAGGAGACCTCACAACCTTGCCCACACAGTGACACGCCTTTCTCCAACAGGGTCACGCCTATGACAATAAAACCACGCCTCCTAACAGTGCCATTCTCTATGGCCAAGCATTTAAACACGCGAGTCTATGGGGGCCAAACCTATTTGAACCACCACAGGAAGCGCTCTTCGTTTCCAAGATTCCAAATTCATACATCTTGTCATCTAAAGGTAAGAAAAGTGTTCACCTGGGCTGACCAGAATCCTGAGAGACTCAACAACACCGAAATTACTTGAAAGAAATCTTTGGAGCCACTTCCAAAGTTCTGACTCAGAGTTGGAACATTGGGCTGGTGACTTACAGCAGGGTGTTTGATACTTTGTCATATACCTTGTTTAGATTTCTAATTCTTGAGGGTAATGGTAATATCATCTTCAAGTGTTGCCATGGTTTCTGAGGGACAGATTTATGCTTTAAGCATTTGTTGAATTAACAATGATATTGACTTCATTAATAAGTCAGGACTTAAGGAGTTGGAGTCAGTGTTCTGTGCTGGGAAGTATGCTTGTCTCCATTTTGGATTTTATTGCCTCAGTCTCCCTTCTTGCCATCTGCTCCATATGAACATCAGCTGAATGTGAGCAAATCTCATTTACCTCCTTCCTAAGTTCATAATATCCTCCAGTCAGTGAGTGTGTGTGTGTGTGCACACATGTCGGGAGGGCCCAGATTCCACTACTGTACTTTGTACCGGGAGCATCTGTGTTTGCAGACGTGTGTGTGTGTGTGTGTGTGTGTGTGTGAATTGCCAATAAGAGAAGGACTTGTCTTTCTGCAACCCTGTGGATCTTGGAAATGTCTAGTATTTTAATAGAAAATTGAAAAGAAAAATGTATTTGGGTATCAAAAGTTGTGACTGAGAGCGGAAGAAAAAAAGCAGCTTTCACCTAGAGGAGAGTTAACTTCTCATCCGTCTCTGCAGCTTCTGCACTTACTTCATTGCCAACATATTCTTGCTCAGGCCATAGTTGCTTATTGTAGTTGTCCTCTAGTCCCACAGCTCTGCCTTCCTGGCTCTCCATCCTCCTCTCTCCCCACTTCTTCTCGGAGGCGTGTATCATTAGCTGATGTAACTTGTTGGATCTCAGATCGGCCTTCTGTCTCCTGGGGAGAGATATGGCAGAGGAGGATGTCTTCAGCACATAAAACAGTCTCCTGACTGCTTCACTCAGGTTTGAGGCTCTGGAGAGGAGCCAGGTAAAGTGAGTGGAGGGAGGGAATGGGGGTGGGGGCAAAGCTGGCAGTAAGATTTCAGTTCAGAGGCACCCACATACACACCTCAGGGTGAGTGCTCTGACCAAAGCTTGCTTGCCTCCTCAGTTGTGAAAGTAAAGAATGCACCTGGACTGTTTAAGCCCAGAGCTCTATTTCTCTTTTTCTTGAGTCTGACACCCTGACCTGGCATCTCCTTGGGAAAGCGGTAGGTTTAATATGTTCGATATCGGGAAATACAATTTCAAATATTCCTAGTTACACTGCATTCACCACCAATCTAGGAAAGAATGTGAGTCTAGGTGAAGGGACAACAGACTTCCCTTCTGTCTTTGACTGGGTGGAATCTAGAGCTTTCGATGGTGAGGGCGGAGTTATCATCAACTGTCTCTATACCACTTTTCTCTGCAAAGGTTAGGCAAAGTCTTAAAGATCTAACCCTGGGGTTAAAAGGCATGTGGATTTCTCAACTGAGGGAAGGAGTCTGTTTCAGTGACTGCTTACTAGGGTGGGGTTCCCAGTTCTCCAGGCTCTGCAAAGGCTATCAAAGAGCAAATCTGAGCTCCTAAAAAAAAAAAAAAGTTTGGGATGGGGGTGGAGGAGACAGGATTCCAAGCACCCAGATTTAACCGAGAAACTTCCATTGGAATTTAGAAATTCTTGTTCTGTGAGGACCAGATCCCTTCTCTGCCTTAGGGGGAAAAATGTTTCCAGGGTTCAGGTAATGTCCCAGGGTTTGCGACATCATGCCATGACTCAGTGTTTACGGGAATCCGTGAGTCCAGAAGGAAGAGCTCCAGAAATGTGCAATTTCTTCCTGAAACTTAATTATTAAAAATACAACTTCAATGGGGTTGGGGATTTAGCTCGGTGGTATAGCGCTTGTCTAGCAAGTACAAGGCCCTGGGTTTGGTCCTCTGGAAAACAAAAAAACAAAAAACAAAAAAACAAAAAAACCAAAAACAAACAAACAACAACAACAACAACAAAACAAAACTTCAGGCTGAGGATGTAGCTTCCTGGTAGACTGCTTGTCTGGAGCTCTAGCCTTGGTTCCTAGCATAGCAAAACAACTAACCAACCAACCAACCAACTAACCAACCAACCAACCAACCAACCGACCAACCTACCAACCAACTCTGCTTCCACTGATTGTTAGTCTGTCAACAAACAAAGTCTATTTTCAGTGATTGTTAGTCTGGGTAGGTAGCTGACCAAACAGGAACTGTGGAAGTAAAGGTGTCTATTTTCCAGTGTCTAGTGGCAGGCATTCTAGTTCTCTGAGATATGATCCTGAGGCAGAATCCCAGGGCAAAGTCCTGCAAGCTAATGGCAGAATGCTAATTGGAGCTTTGAGTGGCTGTTGAATATTAACCCCGACACTGTCCTGGACAGTAACTTTCTGGCCTAGCACTGTTGACTTTGGTCTGGACAGTCTCTTTTCATGCCCTGTGTCTGGGGAGGCTGGGCAGTATCCAGCCTCTATCCTGTCTGTACCCATATTCTGGTCATGACAACCTCTTATGGGGGCCAATGTCAAGTTGTTGAAAACTGTTGCTGTCGTCAAGAGGAAAAGTCGTGTGTTAGATATTTCTGTTCCACTGGAGAGAAGGGCTTGTGCAAAGGAGAGAAGAAAAAAAGAAAAAATAATAATGTATTTTTGCCATGTAATGAAAATTTAAGCAGCCATTAAAAGACATTTTCTAGGTTCTAGAATATGCCCACCTTATGACGCACAGTAGGACATGAGAACACATGTACCACTTGTATTCTGTGCAATGCTCACCTTTAAAACACTAAAAATGTCCCCATAGGGAAAAATACAAAAATTAAAATTAAAGCCATACTTACTTGGTTTTCCTAATGATTTGCCACATGAATCTTGTGGTGCACAGCATCAGGCTACACCAGGCTGGGAAGCATACACTGTGGTCCTCTGTTCTAAGTCTGGTTTTCTTCTACACGGGAAGCAACTCCTTTCCTCTTCTTGTGACCATTCTGCTCATTAAAGACTCACATTCCAGCCAGGCTGTGGTGGTGCAAGCCTTTAATCCCAGCACTTGGGAGGCAGAGGCAGGCGGATTTCTGAGTTCGAGGCCAGCCTGGTCTACAGAATGAGTTCCAGGACAGCCAGGGCTACACAGAGAAACCCTATCTCGAAAAACCAAAAAAAAAAAAAAAAAAAAAAAAGACTCACATCCTCTGCTTCACTTGCAGCTGAGGTTCCACAGTCAGAACTGCTTACCTACACTTTGCTTCTGAGTTTGAGCACTCCTTCACCCACTCATCCCTAACCCTGGCACAGTGCTAGGGGTTGGAAAATTCAGTGATAGGGAAAGCAGGTAAAGTCCCTGCTCTCAGGATGAAGACAGTAAACCAATAAACAGATCCAATAAGCATACACAAGGAGTCAAGCCAAGACAACTCCAGGGTAAGAGCCAGAGAAGCAAAAACCAAAGAGGAAGATAGCCATTGGTAGGGAGTGGCTTAATTAGATTGGGGGTGGGGCAGTGATCCAAGGCTCCTCTAGAAAAGTAATATCTGAGCTAGTACCAGAGAACAAGAAGAATGGAAGAGCTGTGGGGAAAAAAAACTGACAAAGCCTGAGGCTGCAACTTTGTAGCAATAGGGATGGGGTGGGGGTTGCCTCAGCAAAAGGCAAGAGGCACCCTCTTGTCTCTTGTGTCAGGCTTGGGTCTAAGCACCGAGGTGGTAGAGGTAAGTCAAACTCTGGGGCCAGGACCTTGGGATCAGCCTTCAAGGTAATTCTTGGGTACCATAAAATTTGTGAGCTTAAACCTGTGAGCGTCCAGAAACAGGCTCCTCTACCGGTCCAGAGCCTTTTGCAACTTGTAGCCCGAGGACCAGCCCCAGCATTAGTACCAGGGAGTTTTCGAGGGATGCTGATCTCAGACTTCTTCAGACCTTCTGTGCCAGACATGTGTTTCATCAGCTGCATCTCAAGCCCTGATCATTGACAGAGTATGAGAAGCGGTGTCAATCAGTCCATTGTACGTCACAAGGCAGTATGGACAGGAGCTAGGCATAAGGAGACATACCTGTAATTCCCCATACTTGGGAGGTAGGAAGATCTCAAGTTCAAGGCCAGCCTGAGGTGCACAGTGAGACCCTGTCTCAAAAACCTAAATCCAACCCAAATATGTAAGCTTAGAGGAGGTGGATACTGTGTGTTTTTTAGTGATAAAAGATGACTCAACAGTAAAATATCTGATTATACCTTCATTTTTCTCTGGGATAAAGGAACCACACATGGTACAGAAGACAAGTACAGCCATGGTTATGTCTGTAGCTCTTCTTTGTGAAGTGAATGAAGAACAGCCTTGGACCACTACCTTGGAGTCTAATTGTGTCCAAGGTTCCTGGGAGAGGAGGGACAGGCAATAGACATGGGATTTTGTTTATTTTGTTTTGTTTTGTTTTTAGCTGTTTTGGTTTTTAATTTCTTATTAAAAATAGGTATTTATTTATGAATGTGGTGGTTTAGGCCTTTAATCCCAGCACTCAGAAGGCAGAGGCAGATGGATCTTGAGTTCAAGGCCAGCCTGACCTACATACTAGGTTCTGGGACAGCCAGAGCAACATAGTGAGATCCCCATGTCTACAACTAATGAAGAAGAAAGAAACTAAGGAAGAAAGAGGGAGAAAGAAAAAGGTATGTATAAATATCTACTATGCTGTATTAGTGTTACACACACACACACACACACACACACACACACACACACACACACATCTTGTGGGCTGATGAGAGAGCTCAAGCAGATAGTATGACTTTTGCCAAACCTAAATCTGATGCCCGGACCACACTTAGTGGGAGGAAAGAGCCTCTGGTCTTCCACACACATGCTCACCTATGCTCACCCTCTCTTGCCCTGTCCCCATCAATAAATAAGCTTTAAAATTCCCTCTCCCCCCCATCACTGGCTTCTCACTCTTTTACACTGGCTTTGGCTGGCTTCAGCACAGACCTCACTTCTTTCAGTTCTCAGGAGGAAACGCCACGGGGCGTGCACCTTGAGTCTCCTCTGTGGGTCTCCTGACCGTGGCTTTAACTCCATTGCTTTTGGAGCTGGTGAGCTGTTATTTCTAGCAACCACCTCTAATTGTTGAATAAACGTTCTTTTTCCAGGATGTCGTTGAAAGATGAAGAATTAGAAAAGACCCAGTAGGAGGGTAGGTGTCTCTGACTCTTTGCCTGCTCTTGGGACCCCTTTCCCACTACTGGGTTCCATCACCCAGCCTTGATAAGAGGGTTTGTGCCTGGTCTTATTGTATCTTACTATGAGATTATTGTATCTTATTTATGTCCTATTTGGTTGATGTCCCTGGGAAGCCTGGGAAGCCTGCTCTTTTCTGGGGGAGATCTAGGTAGGGGGGGAGGGAGTAGACCTTGGGGAGAGGGGAGGTGAGGGGCAACTGGGAAGAGTGGAGGGAGGGGAAACTGCAGTGGGGATGTGTTGTATAAGAGAAGTCTAAATTAAAGAAAGAAAGAGAGAAAACAGAAAGGTCTCATCTTCACCATCTGAGTGTAACAAGGCACAGAACAGAAGCAGAGTGGACATCTCCAAGTGTACCTCATGATGGTCAAGCCCATTGACACACAGGCTTTCTCGGCTCAGTGTCACTCTGTAAGGCGGGGCACAAAGGAATGACTTGGCTTTCTGATCTCAGAGACCCAGTGGCTGCCGTGTTTCTTTTCTGCCTCTACTGTATCTGAGAAGTTTTCTGTGGAAGGATCCTAGTTCAGGGTGCAGCCTCTGATGGTGCAGCGTCTGTCTCTCTGGCTAGCCCTGCTCCATGCCTTGGGTGCAGAAGGCTCTATAGCAGCCACCAGTGAGTATCATTAGCATTCAGCTTGGTTGGAGCAGCAGCTTGTAGAAAAGCAACTTGGAGCCTTGGAGGCCACTCCTCTGGGCAGTTTGCAGGACGGTAGGCAACAGAACGAACTTGGCTTATGTCACTGGTGTTTGCCTGCACCCCCAGACAGTGCCCAAGGCAGGGGAGGTGCTGAATATTTGCCATTCCAGGACTGAAGAGGCTTTCTTGAACTCCTTCCCTGGGTGTGGCTATACTCCAGTGTCCTCTGCATCCTTCTAGATTCTTCTCTGCAGTCTTCTGGCTCACACAGTGACCTCCATTGTGCCGTGAGCACCGGGGAGCAATCCCGATGCTTGCCAAACCGCCTGGCAGTTAGAAAGTGCTTAGTAGTTTACTAATTGTCTCAGTCCGTTTGCTGTTGCTATAGCAGAATTTCGGAGACTAGGTTTTTTTAATCAAGTAAAGGGGTTAACTTGAATAATGGCTCTACAGGCTTGGAAGATGCTCATAGCTGTCTGGCTGTGGAGGGAGGGCCGTGTGGTAGAAAGGGAAAGAGAGGTCAGGAAGCAAGTGAAGGCTAAGAAAGCTGAGCTTCTTATTCTATTTTACTTTTTGAGGATACCTGCTTTTGTGTAGCTAACGCATTCTGGAGGGAACTGAATCCATCCCCTCACCAGGGCAAATTCCCAACACTCAAACACTTCTTAAAGGCCTTAGAACTGTCTCCTCCCAACTCCCCAGGCCTCACCACACCTTTATGGGGACCAAGGTGAGATTTTGACGGGGACAAAGGACTCTCAAACTCCAGTCCTAACGGTTTGTCATTTGATGAAGGCAGGCAAGGGGAGAGGTGAGGACTGAGGAACAGTGGGAGTTAAGAGTGGGAGGGGAATTCTGAGTACAGCTTGTTCCCTGCAGGGCTCAGCATGTGGGTCTCTGATACAGGATTTACCTAGCATGTGAAAGGCCCTGGGCCTGAGCCCCACACTGAAGAACATATTTCTTTCTGGATTGCTTAATCCCCTTCTGCGGGAAGCTAGCCTGTTTAAGTTTTTGTTGTGACTGGGCCCAAAGCCAGCCTTCTAAGGACAGAGATGATAGAAGTTTCTTGCCAGAAGAAAAACATAACTTCTGCACTAGTGAGCATCCCATTGAAAATATCAGACTCGTGGAGAGAAATCTCAGATTTATTCGTTTTTATTAGCAAATGCTATTTGTGTATAATGGCGGCTTCCTTTAGAACATTTCCATACTTGATAGAAACACTGGACTTTGATCATACTCCTGGTCTGTTATTCTCCTTTGTTGCTTTCGCTCCTTCCATTAGTCCCTTTTTACTTTCATGTCTTTAGGATAAATCTATGTTGCTCATTCGAGACAGATCGTGCAGTATTTGACGAAGTCTGGCTTGTTTTGCCTAATATGAGTATGTATGTTTCCATATATTTCTCCTTCAA